TCTCAGAATTCTGACAAATAACAAACATGTTAGCATCAAGCCGTATCAATGTCTGTTTTAGAGACTAGCTTTCTTGTTTTAATGACCTTCTGCTCCTCCATTAATGAGGGGACCCCTCGGGCACGTAAAAAGTTGCCTAATTCCATAATTTTCCACCCATGTGTTCCTGTTCCTCCCTACCAACTCACATCTTTGTCAGTGAAGCTGAGTGCTCCACATCTCTTCCTTCATGGTGCCCATCTACATTAAGATCCTAAATTCTGAGAAAAGTCAGAATTCTGAGAAAAAAGAATCCCAATACTAAACTGAAATAAAATTTTAAAATCAGCTCACTTTTTTTTTTTTTTTTTCAGTAGCCCTAATCCTCTTCCGTACGGTCTTTGTGTATATCATTGAAGTTTTCCCAGGGTTTCCGTGGGTCATTAAAAATCATTAAAAGTCATTAAATTGTTATTTTTTAAATCAAGGCCTTAGTTGGCATTAAAATTCATTAAATGTGTTTATTGTGGCATTTAAAATGCTTTCTAAAAAAAAAAAAATGTACAAAAACAATTTCGTCAGACATTTTATATCACGATATATTTGCGTGGAACTGCTTCCGGTTCATCGCAAAGACGTATGTTCAGAAAAGAAGCTTGAGTCGGAGAAAAAAGTAGAGAATGGGGAAGAATGCCAGTTTCAACAAAAGTGGTTGGAAAACGAGGAATTCAGGGCTGCAGCCTGTCTACTGGTTGGTGGCATTAAAATAATTTCTAAGAGCATTAAAAAGCATTAAATTAGAGTTATTCATTCCTGTATAAACCCTGTTCTCTTACTTCTCTGCTCTAGCAGTGCTGGGTTCCCGGGGGGGGGGGGGGGGTTCCCAATCATAGTCTCTTTTTATTGGGTAGAACAGGTTGGGACGTCTGCCTCTCTTTGTATCTACCTTCTGCACAAACACATTCACCTAACTACAGTACAGCCTCTGGGTAGGGTTCCCAACATGTAGTGTTTCAAGAGACTTGGACAAAGTGGCGGCATCGTGTGTAGCCAGCTTAGTGTCCAGAGATGTGTCCAGTTGGGCTCTAATGGGAATATCCTGCTCTTTGCCTCCCTGGGCTTTTAAAGAGGTGGCAGTGTGCCCTTCTTACCTTAATGACTAAAGCCAGAACACACTGAATCCGATTCGGTATCCGATCTGACAGTAAATCGTGTCCTAGAGGTCGTGGCATTTGGCGCTCATTGAAAGTCAATGGGGATGATCACACTCGACACGATTTTCCACAAAGGCAGCGTAGCTCTGGCTGAGATAGAGCCCAGGTCTGTGTTAGTTTTACTTTGCCGCAATTCAGCAGCAATTTCATGGGTCTGACAGGAAAAGAGACGCGATTACAAAGTGAAACACATCCGCTTTGGAGGAAAATACAAAATATATCTGTTAATCTCACGGGGAAAGAGTCAGTTTGGAGTCACACATCGCGTTTATAGTAAGCAGGACAGACTGGAGCAAAAACAATGAATGAAAAATATAAATAGCAAACTTTAACCATGAAAGCAGGACAGAAAAAGGATAAAAAGGCTCCTCTTTGAGCCTCACAAAAAAACAAAATAAGGACGGGCAGGAAGAGCAGGTCAGCGTAGCGTATTTCTCTCACCTCTTTATGGAAAAAAAAGAGAGAAAAACTAAATCTCTCTCTGAGAATCACCTCTCTGCCTCAGTCACCATAGAAACCGTCCCACAGCGTTAATCGCTGCGTTTTTCTTCTCTATAGACGTAGATATCATTATGTTTTTAATAGATGAACATCCTCTATCTGTTCTGGTTCTAGATGCTGCACAGACTCGTTAAGTGGAGCTTTGCTTTATAGAATCCGTTGGTGGTTTATTTTTTTTATTTTAAATTTTTCCTAATCTGTTCCAGTCAAATGTGGGAAATTTGTGTATAGTGCAGAGACAGAGGTGAAAAGAATCTGCATAGATCTGCTCACCCTGTCTAGTCAGAGCCTTTCTACACGCAGTCAATGTGACTTGGGAAAAAAGTCGTGCAAGGTGTGTTCAGGGCTAAAGATCTGTTGTATTATGGGCTCACATACATAGGTCTGACTCTATTCTTTTAAACTAGCATACTCTGGCATCTATAGGCATGAGAGGGGGGAAGACTACCTGCAAATTTTGAATCCAGTAAGACTCAAATATGTAAAAGTCACCATCCAGGAAAAATACTTGGTAAAATGGCTGCTGAGACTGAGAAAATGTTGGCTTATTACATCTGATAAAAATTTTTTAATAAGTCAGTTATATGCAAACTCTGCTTATTCAAACTAATAAAAATGAAGTTAAAGTGCCATTCAAAAACACAAAACAAAAAAAATTACACTTGTAACATAGTATCTCAATATAAACTTAGAAACCAACCTTAGCAGCAAAGATAAAACCTTCAGCTGTAGATCTACCATTTACTGTATTTTCAGCTGATCTCCAAATTGCTCACATTAGTTGGATATAAATAAACAGAACATTTACTTAAATAAGAGTAGAGTATGTTTATAGAATATTACTTAAGTTAATGTAAAACTTATGGTAAAGCATAATTACTCCATCTAACATTTTCTATAATGTACTGAAATAAATGTAACTAATTACTACCATCCTGTTAAACACTGAGAAGTTCTGCCTTTATTCACTAAGCTTGGCCATGTGTTTCTCTTATAGCCGCTCAGATCAAGACCATGGTGAACCAGTTGGGGACCAGGCAGGACACCACTGAACTTCAAGATCGGCTGTACGTACCCCCTTTCTTCAGTAACTGTCCTCTTTTCACCTTAATCTGTCCAAAAAACAGTGACGCTTCACTGTCTTTTGCCCCATTTACACCCCCCCCTTCTGAAACAGGTTAGTCCAGAGTTCAGACCAATGCTTGGATCAGTTAACTGAGCTTGGTTCTTACTAGGGGTGTAAATCACATCCATCATGGCGATTCGATTCAGTATCGATTTCCTGACCCAACGTTTCGATTATTTTCCATACTTAAGAATACACTTCGATTCGATTAATTGGTTCTTTTTTTTCACACCTTACAGACTAGACAATGTTTCAAAATGGAAATAAATCAATGAAAGCTGTAATATCGTTATGCATTTTTTTGAGAAACAACAGCAAAAAACAGAAGTAGAAAAAAATACTGCAGAAAATCATTGCAATGAGTTCAATGCAATACCTCGGCTCCAGACGTCCCGTCCCCTCCACAGACGCTCCGCTGCTCCTCTCCCAGATTGTAGCTGACCGCTAACAGTGCCGCAGACAGGAGGCCGGCTTGTTTTGTTTTTATGACCGAAATTGCGGAAAAAAACTTTTGAAGTATGACCCGCTAGAAGAGCGAGGTGCGCGAGAACGCTGGGACCCTTTTTCCACCTGGATCTCCGCTATTTTTGGCCGTCATGTCCCTCCGTCGTCGGATTAAACTCGCCCCCACTTCCTCGCCGCCTCGGCCGTATCTAGACCCACAGCGTGTAGCTCAGACCACGCTTCAATATTGAGCAGAATTTAAAAATGTCTGCATCAAGCTCACTGCAACACACTGCTGTAAGAGGATAACCAGGAAGCGAGATAGGAGGGCAAAATAGGTTTAGCGCCACCGCAGCACGGGAGGGAGAATTACGCCCAGGAGCAAATGGATAAAAATAAACCGGAGGAAACAAAAAAACATGAATCAATACCCCTGTGGACGTATCGATGCATCGGATCGTCGGCTGTTGGATCGATGCATCGATACAAAACGATTATTATTTACATCCCTAGTTCTTACTACCATTCACACATTACGCTAGCACGGTTCCTCGCCTCCTATCAGCGGTCCACGATACTACAGCTCTCAAGGCGGGAATTAAACAAAAATGGTGGCGCATATAACAGTCAGGAACTTATGTTTGTTTATAATGGTTATATTTCGTTGCTTGCGGAATGTCAGGCAAAGAAGGCATCCTTCTCGGTCTCGACCTTATCCCAGTCTTTAAAGTGCAGTCCAAGCAGAAATGGACGGGTAAAGTCTCTTTAATATGCTTTCCCTTCAATTAGACCATCGCTGACCAGCTTTTAGCCAGCTTCCATTCATTGTGATGGGCATTCAAAAAATGCACCTTATTTTGCATGAAGTCTTAAACTATGTGAAGCTGCTACCTCATATGTTTAATGAAGCTCTTCCTGTTTCCACAGGCAGCAGATACAGCACTACACCAATCAGCTTGCTAAAGAAACCAACAAGCACCTGAAAGAGTTGGGCTCCGTCCCTCTGCCATCATCACCCTCAGAACAAGTAGGTGCCAGGTTGCATTTACCCATACATCAAGCGCTTCTTTAACTCTGATTTCAACTTTTCTTTTTTTAAAGTAGGATAACGAGGGACATGTTGCATGAGATGTGGACGGTTTGTGTTTATTTCAGCTGTTAATGCTTCATGTTAATGACATCCAATTGTTCCCAGAAAGACCAGATAATGATGCAGAAGTCAGAGCTTCAAAAACAGAACTAAACCAACATTTCTGTATTAACTCTATGATTCCTGCTTCGAGAAGCAGATGTGTTTCTCAGTTTGAATTAAAATTTTAAACTATTGTACACACTTTGTAAAATTATGCAAATCAAGTCATAAAATGAAGTCTACGA